AGAATTCCGTGGTGTATATGGACCACATTTTCTTTATCCAGTCTACCGTTGATGAGCATTTAGGTTGATTCCATGTCTTTGCTATTGTGAACAGTGCTGCAATGGACATAATGTGTCTTTATGGTAGAATCATTTATATCCTTTTGAGTATATACCCAGTATACTCTAAATTCTGTCCGCAGATCTCCATAAATATGCAAAATCTATACAATTTGATCAAGCATGTTATTAAACTGAAAACCAAGTAGTGAAAGAATTTAAAATCAAAGCATATTAATGGAATGCTTCCTGCACCTTCAGATTTAATGACCTCTAATTAAGCCATCGTAATACCTGCCAATATACACTCACCTAAAGCCCATAGAAAGAAGCCAGAACAGAGATGCTTGTACTGTGAAGGAAATTGTAGAATCATTGCAGTAGCCAAAAAAAAAAGGTTAAATAATACGAGAGTAGAAAAATGCTTTCTCCAAAACTATGTGTGCAATTTTGGTCACTCCATTCGGATGGTCACTCTAAAGCATTTTGAAATAGTCATTGGTATGTGACACAAAGAAACTCTTGTAATATTTTGGAATTGTGTATGCTACATTTTTCCTTAAATGACTTGCTCTGTTAGAACAAATCAAGTCATGTTATACTCATAGATCTGGAAATATTTATTTTGTCTTCTGGTTAGTATTGAGAATCCATGAAAGCTGTTTATTTTATTAAAATAATCATCATCCAAAAATGTCATTAAATGGTTATTTGGCTAGGAATAAACTAGACTGTACAAATTGCATTATTAGATATGGCCGCAGTGTCTTGGCATCTAAAACAGAAATGTAAAGAAACATTTTTAAAAGGAGATAATATAACTAAATTATTATTGGAAGTATGAATAAATAATAATTGTGAGAGTATTTATGTCTAAATAAAGGTAGTAAGGTTTACCACACTCAAGGTGCAAATCTGGTTCTGACTGTTATATTCCAAAGATTGGCAATTTATGTACTGCAAGACAAAAATAATTTTATTTCTGACAAGGACCCTTATTTAGTAAAACATGACCCTTGCACTCTTCTTTCTTCCTTCCTGGGAAGGGCTGCCTCCTTAACAGGTGCTGGTCCTCCAGCCCATTTGGGAAGTAGCAACCTGAGGTCAACTCACAAATACCTTAATCTTCCCTGTCCATTCCTGCATACACAAAAGAAGTAAGACTAATTCAGGTGCAGTGGCACATGTCTGTAATCCCAGCACTTTGGGAGGCTGAGGCAGGAGGAATACTTGAGCCCAGGAGTTCAAGACAAGCCTGGGCAACATAGTGACAATCTGTCTCTACAAAAAAAAAATTAACCAGGCATGGTGGCACATGCCTGTAGCATCAGCTACTTGGGAGGCCAAAGCAGGAGGATCACTTGAGCCCAGGAGTTCGAAGCTGCAGTGAGTCAAGATCACACCACAGCACTCCAGCCTGAGTGACAGCAAGACTCTGTCTCAAAAATAAAAAATAAAAGAAGAGGAAGTGAGGCTGAAATTTGTGAGGCTAAAACTTGGCATGCTGTGTATAAAGGACTGTTTATGATGGCAGATACTGACCTAAAACCCAGCCCAAAGACAAACCCCAGAAATAGAATCAGACACTGAATGGTTGGATAGATGGATGGATGGATGGAGAAAGGGAGGATAAAAAACAGCAGAAAGGAGAGGGATGGAGGGATGGAAAGACGAATGGAAGAGGGAGGGAAGGATTTGAAGAAACAGTCAAAGCTTCGTTTTTGAGTCAAGTAGATATTTTTGCTACATTTCCCCTAAAGCCACATTTTCAATTAATCCTGTTTTCCCAGGAAAGCAATGTGTCATACTCTTATAAAAAATAAGAAAATAGCCAAGCCCACAAGATGCAATAATACAAGCATACTTAAGGATGAGGCCAAATTTTTAAAAGCAACACATGTTAAGGGCAAAAACACAGTTTATATATTGTCATGAATCTGACTGTATAATTTGCCTCAACCTGCCTCATATAAAAAGTACGATAATAATATAATATCTCAATATTCATTAAGTGTTTATTATGAGTCACATACTCTCCTAAGAACTTTATATGTATTAAATGTGGAATTCTCATATCAACCCTGTGGGGTAATTACTGTTATTGACTGCATTTTGGAGATAAGGCTAACTGAAGACCAGACAGATGAGGTCATTTATTATAGCCTCACTTGATTTTTATTGGCAATGTGGTCATTCTAATACTGTAACCTATTTCCAAAAGCCTTTATTTTTATCTTTTTCCTTCCTCTCTGTTCCTCCTCCCTTCTCACCAAATACAGATGAAAATGTTTGTGATGGCAGATACTGATCTAAGACCCAGCCCAAAGACATAGCCTCTGTCATCTTGGAGGTGTAATGTTAATTCTTTTTTGTAAGGTTTAGTCTCGCTCTGTCGCCCAGGCTGGAGTGCAGTGGCAGGATCTCGGCTCACTGCAACCCCCGCCTTCGGGTTCAAGCAATTCTCCTGTCTCAGCCTTCTGAGTAGCTGGGATTACAGGCACCCGCCACCACGCCTGGCTAATTTTTTGTATTTTTAGTAGAGACAGGGTTTCCACCGTGTTGGCCAGGCTGTTCTCAAACTCCTGACCTCAGGTGATCCACCTGCCTCGGCCTCCCAAAGTGCTGGGATTACAGGCGTGAGCAACCACGCCCAGCTCCAGTGGTAATTCTTTAACTGTTTTTCCCATTAGTTTTTCTTTGCTTGAAGTTACCAGATTCTTTTCAGAATTATTTGCTAGAAGAACTCACAACATGAAATAAGAGGAAATAGCAGGACCTACAGCCCAGTGTTCATTGAGGAGGCATTGATCAGAGGTCCAGAATTCAGACATGGAGGCCAGACTGCTAGTGTGTGAGCTCAGTTTTACCTTAATAGTTTTGCAACCCTAGCTCATGTTCTAATTATCCTGTGCCTCGACTTCCTTATTATAAAACAGAAATAATAGTAGTGCTTACCTCTTAGGGTTGTTGGTTGGGTGCTTGCAAAGCAATACAATGATCCCTGGCACAGTGTGAATGAGCTATTATATAATGAATTACTCTAAATTTGATCTTCTTTCACTAATGAATTTCTGTTACATAAGGGAAATCTTTAGAATTTTCAGCCTTACTAGATTTGGAGAAGGATTACTGAACACCAACCGCAGTTCTCAAGCAAGGAGTTAACGAGAGCAATAAAAATGTAGAGGGGAGGTAGAAAGAATTAGGAGGTCATGTTTCTCCACTTTATCTGGAATTCCATTCGTTCGTGTGGACCACACATTGTGATAGACATCCATGTTTGGTTTTTCTTTAAAAAAATGTAAAATGAAAGAAAGAAATCAGTGCTTATTAAACGAAGTTTAATAGACAAAAAAATGTTTACAACATAGAGGCAAAGGGTAAAAATAACAAAGAGCTAAATTGTTCTTGAAAGTATTGAGGCCGGATGCAAAGGCTCACTCCTGTAATCCCAGAACTTTGGGAGGCTGAGGTGGGTGAATCACTTGAGGTCAGGTGTTCAAGATCAGCCTGGCCAACACGGTATAACCCCATCTCTACTAAAATTACAAAAATTAGCCAGGTGTGGTGTCGGGCGCCTGTAATCCCAGCTACTCAGGAGGCTGAGGCAGGAGAATTGCTTGAACCTGGGAGGTGGAGGTTGCAGTGAGCTGAGATTGCACCACTGCACTCCAACTTGGGCCTGGGTGACAGAGCAAGATTCCCATCTCAAAGGAAAAAAAAAAGAAAGAAAGAAAGAAAGGATTGAGAAACTTTTGTTCATCTTAAAGAATTATCTCATAATTCAGAATACCAGTCATATGGTGCACTTAAGATATAGTTACTGCTGTACATAATTCAGGAAGATCTCTAAATGCCTGAGTAATCATCAACAATTACAGAATTTTAGTAAAAGAAGACTTTAGAGATTAGTTGTATTTGGCTGACTGGCTTTGGTTAGGATAGTTATTACTTTAGAAATTTAATTCCTCCCTTTGCTAACTCAGAAAAAAAAATGTGTATTACAGTGGAAAGCATCTCAGTAAAAGTTAGAGGGAATGATACTGTTCTGGGGTGTTGTGGAATGTTTTCCTTTGCTGTGATGTTCCCTTCAGATAGTGATCAAAACTATTTGAGGGTCATTGAGCATCCATCTGTTACACTTTTAAAAAGTATTTTTGCTTAAAACAGATTTTTCACAAATTTTGCTTGGAGTTCATGTACAAACTTTCTGAAAATGCTTATGTAGCTTACCAAAAGATGTCCAGTACTCTTGAATTTAAAATTTCCGTGAGAGGAGCTTTCAAAATTAATCAGTTTTTCCCTAGGTAACTTTGTTGGTTTAATGAGAAAAATCAAAGTTAAATTTAGTGTGTAGTTAATTAGAGTTTGAGGTATCCCACAGTACTTTGAGAATAAAAAGTATTCATTTTGCTTATCCAACTAGAAATTTTAAAACACAGGCCAGGCGCAGTGGCTCATGCCTGTAATCCCAGCACTCTGGGAGGCTGAGGTGGGCGGATCACCTGAGGTCAGGAGTTTGAGACCAGCCTGACCAACATGGTGAAACCCTGTCTCTACTAAAAATACAAAATTAGCCAGGCTTGGTGACTCACACCTGTAATCCCAGCTACTCAGGAGGCTGAGGCAGGAGAATCACTTGAACCCAAGGAGGCAGAGGTTGCAGTGAGCCAAGATCATGCCATTGCACTCCAGCCTGGGCAACAAGAGTAAAACTCCATCTCAAAAAATAAAAAATAAAAATAAAACACAGTGATAAATGTATTTTTACTCACGAATCCTGTGGATTCTTCATTGCCCACATGAAGAGCACCTCACCTGTAAAATTGGTGTTGTGGAAAAGTTGTCCAGGAAGTAAAGATCCAGTCGTACTTTATTAAAAACACAAATATCTCCTTAGATGAAAATGCAAACTTAAGGGTAAGCTCATGACCGTCCTGACAGCTGGGATGTTCTTTCAGCTTCTACAGATGACAGTGCAGCTGAGAAGAAAGGGGGAACCCTCCACGCTGGCCTCATCGTTGGAATCCTCATCCTGGTCCTCATTATAGCCACAGCCATCCTTGTGACAGTCTATATGTATCACCACCCAACATCAGCAGCCAGCATCTTCTTTATTGAGGTAAGTGTTGAGTTGAACACATGAAAACCACGCCAGTTGATGAACTGTATCCGTTTGCTAATACCACCTGGATTTAATATTTACCGCATGATTTCTCCATTTTTCAGTTTCGAGGTTTCTGATTTCACACACATGGATGCTCTCACCCATGCACTCTCGTACATATTGATAGATTGCTTTCAGATGATGGGTTCAGTTACCTTATCTCTGGAGCTTTTAAAGACATAAACTATCTTGTCTTTCTGAGATCTAAAAGAAAATGGGAACCATACTTTTTGGTCCTTTTACACCAAGTATGTTAACCAGCTGCTCTCCTTGTCCTAGGAGGAAATACTACGTATCTGGGAGGCTAAAGACTTAGCTTAAGTCAATTGCTCAATGAATGCTAATTGAGTATTGGCTGTGTGCATGATACAATATGATGGGCCTCTTCTCAAAATGCTCACAAACCGTTTGGAAAAAATATGGTTTTCACCACAAAATGACAGATATAAAAATAAAATAATGGTATATGCTGTTGCCATTTTGCATAATGTGTGTATATTTGTATATTTATATATAAATGCACAGACACACATATCCACACAGACACGGAACGAGAGCACCATACTGAATAAGTGTTATGTCTTCATGTACAGAATGTAGGTTTGGTGCCAGTGCTGAGGAGTAAACAGGTGGGAATGCAAGGGGCTGTGCATAAGGAGCTGTGGCTAAGCCCTGGGGTCTAAAAGGCTGAAACCAGGAAGCCTGGAGACCAGTAGATACAGTCTGTGCGTGTGACCAAGTCATCTCTGTCCTCCAGAAGGTTGGGTTTCCTGGGCCCCATGCATATGATGCAGTTTTTTCTTGTTTTGTTTTGTTTTTTGTCGTTGTTGTTGTTTTGACAGAGTCTCACTCTGTCGCCCAGGATGGAATGCCATGGTGCAATCTCGGCTCACTGCAACTTCTGCCTTCCAGGTTCAAGCGATTTTTGTGCCTCAGCCTCCTGAGCAGCTTGGACTACAGGCAAGCACCACCACACCCAGCTAATTTTTGTATTTTAGTAGAGACAGGTCTTCACTATGTTGGCCAGGTTGGTCTCAAACTCCTGACCACAAGTGATCTTCCCGCCTTGGCCTCCCAAAGTGCTGGGATTACAGGTGTGAGCCACCATGCCTGACCACATGTGCACCTTTGACTCTCACATCTGAATGGAACCACTCCTCTTCCAGCACCAAATAAAACTAGAAATACTAAAGCAATAAAGGAAATCTTCTCTTGCAGAATTTCAAACACAGAATTAGAATTATTCATTGTATGACACATGGAAAGGTTGCTTGGAATTATGGTCACTTGTTGAGTGAGAAATTATAATACCTTTTAAACTATGGAGTTAAAATTACCTATGCTCCTTATAATGGGGAGAGGTGAATAAATGCAAATCAAACAATTGCTTAAACGTCCTAGATGGCTCACAACTGTCTGTAGAAGAAAGTGCCGTCTCCTTTTCCTTCTTTGGGGGCTCAAGGCCTTGGCACTCTCAATCTTAACGTGTCATTTCAATCTTTATTCTCTTGGCTCCCTAATCTGGAGTTGGCATTTCTGTCAAATTTCATGCTTTGTCTGTCTCTGTACACAGCCCAAATTCTGCATGTCACAAAAACATTGCTCATTCTAGTTCCTCCATCAAAAATTCTTCCTGGTCAGGTACAGTGACACATCTGTAATCCTAGCACTTTGGGAGGCTGAGGCAGACAGATTGCTTGAGCCCAGGAGTTTGGGACCAGCCTGGGCAACATGGTGAAACTTCATCTCTAAAAAAAAAAAAAAAAAAAAATAGAAAAAAATGAATGGGGCGTGGTGGCGTGTGCCTGTAGTCCAAGCTACTTTGGGGGCTGAAATGGGAGGATTGCTTGAGCCCAGGAGGTCAAGGCTGCAGTGAGCCATGACTGTGCCACTGCATTCCAGCCTGGGTGATAGAGAGGCCCAGTCTAAAAAAAAAAAAAAATCCTCCACTCCCATATTAGTTCTTGAATTCAGAAGCCAAAAGGCCTTTGATACGTTGTACCCCATAAGCTTCTTTAGACCATCTTCCTGCTCGGCATCTGGGTATAATCTCTTTCTCTTCTGAAACTCTATCTACAGGGATACACCCCTACCTTTCTCTGACATTCATCTTTCTGTTTTACACTAGAGTTCAGTATGCGCATGATTTATTCCACCCTGCAAAACTTGTAAGTGCCTTAAGATTTGGATTAAATCACTTACGTTTCCTTTGAAAAATAGGGATTCTGCCAATATTTCCTGGAAAAACGTTCATAATAAATATCCTAGGACATTTCAGACTTCCAGAGAAATTTCATATAAAACATATTTCAGAAATGGCATCTTCATTTGATTCAGTAATTGAGATATTATCAGGCATTGCCTTGAATTGAAAATCTGTTATTAAGTTCTGTTAATGTGCTTGGTTTTCTCGGAAGAAAGTAGACAACCTTCTCAAAGTTACAAATGTATTCTTCAAAGAGCTGCTGAGTGACAAGCTAGAAAGCCTCAGGGACTAGCCAGACCTCAGGCTGCTGCTACTGCCGTAACCCCCTCACATGTTTAAGCCTTTTCAAACTGTGCAGTTTATTTTCTGACATAGTAAAAAAGAAGACACTGTGAATATCTGATGGTGTGGTATTAGCGGCAAATTGCACAGTATGAAAGATCTAGTTAAAGCTGGTTCAAAGCAACTCCCGTATGACTGCAAAAATAGTGGAATATTGTTTTGAGTATCAGTCTCATTGTCTTATGTCTCAGAGCCTGTACGTCCATATGTGTGGAGTGTTTGCATATGTATACATACACATGTATTTATAGAATATGAGAGCTAGATGGAATCTTAGAGATAATTTAGCTCTATACTCTCCTAACACAAAAGGAGACTGAGTGAGGCTGAGAGGAGTGGAATGACTTATCCAAGGTCAAAGAGCCATAGTTCTAAGAATAACTCTTTCTTCTTTTCACGTGTAAGCAAAGCAGAGTCACTCAGCAGGTCTCCCAGCTTTTCTCCTCTTGACTTTTTTTCCTTCCTGTGGAGTCAATTGCCAGAGTCTGCTTAAATCTCTACCTATCTGACACGCTGCTGGGGTCATGCGGCTCACAGTGGCTGGGCAGCAGCTGATGTTTGGAGGTGATAGTCATAACTTCACTATTATTAAAACTGACCACTGTTTGCAAAATCAAAACAGATCCACGATGACCATTCTGTTTGTGATATGCAGACGTGTAAATTTGAAGATTTTAAATTATTAGTCACATTAGAATTGTTGTTGCATAAATGAGGGAACTGAATATAACAACATTTTTTTCATTGCCTTTGATGTTCCATACTATATTCCTATCTACTTTTGAAATGAAATTGATGTGCTTTCTTCTTTTATGAAAATGATACCATTCTTTATAGAAAATTGAGATAATGCAGAAATGTAAAAGGAAGAAAAAAGAAAGTCATTTATAGGTTCCAGCATGCAGAATTGATGACTATTAATAGTTTCATTTATTTTCTTCTGGAATTTGTATGTACATAATTTGATGTTTGCCCATTTAATACAGTGGTGATTTCACTGTAATACACATAGGTATTCTTTTTTAAATAACATTTTTCTGTTTTATTATGATGGCTTTGTAAACATAATTTTAATGTTTGTATTCTGTTCTATTCAACATTTGTTCAATAGTTTTATACTGACTGCCTCTTATGCAGTCAAGTGGTAACTCGGAATACACTGAGAGCCTAACATGTGCCTACAAGTCAAAAAGGACCTGTTTCATTCAGATGAAGACTGTGTGTTAGTTTTCTACTGCTGTTGCCACAAATTGCCACAAACCTAGTTACTTAAAATAACACACACTTGTCTTACAGCTCTGGAGGTCAGAAGTGCTAAAATCAGGATATTGACAGGGCTGGTTCCTTCTGGAGGTTTCAGGGCTTAATCGTTTCCTTGCCATTTTCAGCTTCTACATGCTGCATGTATTCCTTGGCTCATGGTTTCTTCTCATATCATTCCAACTTCTGTTCCCACCGTCACATCTCCTACCACGAACGTTGGCCCTCCAGCCTCCTTGTTGTAAGGCCCCCTTGTGACTACATTGGGCTCACCTGGGTAATCTAGAATAATCTCTGCATCTCTAGGTCCTTAACTGAATCACATCTGCAAAGTTCCTTGTAAGGTAACATTGACACCTTTTGGAGATTAGGACGTGGACATGTTTGGGAGGCCATTATTCTGTTGAGCACAGAGTGTGTCAAATGTGAGATGCATCGCACACTTCCAATTAAACTGTAACACACCCTTGACTATAAGATATGTCCCAGTTTCAGTTATTAAAATGTAACCCAATGGATATCTTGAATATTTCACAGTGAAATCCAGACTTCACTAAACACTTGTATGAGTTAGTTCCTGTGCTAAACACTGTATATAATGTGATGAAATTGAATGACTCTAGGCTGGGAGCAGTGGCTCATGCCTGTAACCCCAGCATTTTCGGAGGCCGAGGCAGGCAGACCACTTGAGGTCCAGAGTTTGAGACCAGTTTGGCCAACATGGTGAAACCCCATCTCTACTAAAAATACAAAAATTAGCCAGGCATGGTGGCACGCGCCTGTAGCCCCAGCTACTCGGGAGGCTGAGGCAGAAGAATCACTTGAACTTGAGAGGCGGAGGTTGCAGTGAGCCAAGATCGCACCACTGCACTCCAGCCTGGGTGAACGAGTGAGACCCTGACCCTGTTTTTTAAAAAAAAAAAAAAATTCATGACTCTGCCTTTGAGTGTATATATCAGAGCTCATGCACCCAGTGTCTTATCGCAGAGCAATGCGGCTCTTCCTACTTTTTCTTATTTTTAATCATCCCCATTATAAACATATTAATAGTAACAGCCAACACTTATCAAATACACTAATAAAGTGATTGACACTTATTACCTCATTTAATCCTCATGAAGACCCTGTGTGATACAAAGGTTATCTT